TTGAAGCTATTATTAAATAATTTTAATAATTTTATGTAACTTAAGTTATATAAAATTTATGTTTTATATACTATTTGTTTTTATTAAAAATTATTAAAATTATTTTAAAATTATTCAAAAATTTATTAAAAATTATCTTTGAAACAATGAAAATTTAAATAACATCATCGATAAATGTTAAATGAATAAATATATATTTAAGTATATTTAAAATGTATCAAACGTATTGTATTCTAATGACTATTTTACAAAAACCAGGTTTCGAAGAAAATTGATATTGATACAAATTTATATTAAATAATGACATTAGACAATTACGCAACACAATGATCGCAATTTAAAATTAATATAAATCTTGTAACTGAGAACGTTCTACAAAAAAGTCATTAATTTGATTGCAGTTTTATCGAGCAAGATTGCGTGTCGGGCTTCTGGACGTGGTTGTTCGTACTGTCGAAACTACCCGAGCTTGGCGACACGATCTTCATCGTGTTGCGCAAACAGCCATTAATCTTCCTGCACTGGTATCATCATATTACCGTCTTACTGTACTCCTGGTTTTCCTACTCGGAGCACACCGCGTCCGCGCGATGGTATGTCGTGATGAACTACTGCGTTCACTCGATCATGTACAGCTACTACGCTCTGAAGGCGATGCGATACAGACCACCTAAAGTAATCTCCATGGTGATTACCACATTACAACTTGCCCAGATGGTAGTCGGTTGCTATATCAATATATCTGCCTATCAATACCTGGAGAGCGGCAACGTGGATTGCAACATTTCTCGCATGAATATCCATTTTAGCTTCGCGATGTACTTGAGCTACTTTGTCCTATTCGCGCGTTTCTTCCATAAGACGTACCTGGCTGGAAAGAAGTCCAACAAAAAGCACTTTGCCAATAGCGCACCTGGTCACATCGGCTATAATGACAAGCTCAAAGTTAACTAAGGCGTTAATCAGTACACTAAGGCTTTTTTCTCTATCTTTCGTCCCCTTTCCTCCGCTCTCTTTCTGTCCCCAACTTTCTTTTTTTATTTTCCTCCATTCTTTTTTCTGTTTTTTCTCACGCCGCTGGTCGACGTAGCCATACATCCAGGATCTATTCATGCTAGAAAATATTAGGGTTTAACGGCTTCTAGGATTCACGTGTTCAGTGGTACTATCGCTAAACTTAAAGTTTTATGGGTGCGTTTTTTAACTATAATAATAATAATAATAATATGATACATGATTATTTCCATTTTCTTTTTCTACTTCAAAATTATTTTGTTAAATAATTGTACATTAATTGAATTTATTTATGTTAATATGTATATATTTTTTAATTGAATATAACAGTGTAATTTCGAATATATACATATATATTTTTTTTTTACGTGACTTTTACATAAGCGTTTTATGTTCGTTTTGTTAATACTAAATAAATACGTTTTTATTTATTTGAGATAATATTTTTTTGAGATGAAAGATATTAGTTTCAGGCCTCCAAAAACATAGACTTGCCATTATATTGGAATCTCCCTTCTAAGATATGAAATTCATTAGAATGTCGAAATGTAAAGTTATATATAGAGCCTAAAATACACGCTCTAAATTTTTAGAATTTGTAAATACGTCTGTGACAAGAATTTAGATTTATAGAGTTCATATATAGAATTTGTATATCCTAGGAACTATCGAATCTTAAGTTCATAAATCCTAGGCATCATATTTTTAAAACTCTATTTAGATTCTAGGAGCCGTACGTCCTAAAAATTATAGATCTTGGGTGCGATGTTTCTCAGGATCCTTACATCCTAGGACTCGTAAGACAGTTTTTGTGAATCACAAAATCTGTCAATCCTCGAGTCTATAGATTCTAAGATATATTTAAGATACATATTTCTCAGGATTCGTACAAGATCCTAAGATTTAGAATTCGTGAAACAATGAATTGATGAAATTTTGGAGTCTACAACACCTAGGATTCATATTTCATGCGATCTTTAGATCCTACGGTCTATCGATCCTTTAGTAGATTTTTTTAGGATCCTTAGGTCGTAGGATACATAGATTTTAATCAAGGATCCTTAGCCAATTAGTCCGCCTATGCGCGGAGGATATCTTAAGGAGGAGGTTCGCTTGGAGGAGGAAATATATAGCGATTCTCCTCTTTTCATTTTTTTACGTGTAATTAGTAAAGAGCTACTTTCGCATGTACTGTGGAAACGTGTGCAAGCGTTTCTCAAGTCCGACCGGCTGTTGCACAATTGTTATTATGATTTTTTGTTATTATCTATATCTCTTTTGCAATTGAATATATATATATATATATATACTGAATAT